CCACCACTCTATGAAAAATTCAGCATATGGTGTTTCGACATTACACTATTAATTTTTTTAAGTTTATGTATTTTCCCCTGAGTGAGAGAGAGAAAAAGACAGACAGACAGATAGACATCAGCATTTACCCCAGCCTCAGCCAACCCCGATCATGGGCCCATGTGTGCCTGATGCACTCGGGGAGGTCTCCAGATGCAAACCAGGAACCTCCCCACGTGGGTCAGCTCCAGAAAGCACCACCATCCAGTGCTCATCCACTATTCATTTTTACAGCCTCTCCCTAAACGTGGTAAAAAATAGGAACAATTTTACTATCCTTATGTACCACAGTGAACTGCAATCAGAATGTAGCTCTCACTGACGGCTAGTTTCTATCACCAGAGCAGGCTACTTCCCAGGGAACCATGTCACAAAAAGGGCCAGCTCCCCCTGCGACGCGTGCTGTGCTGTACAAGAATTCCATAATGACTTTTCCTGTGTGGAGCCCAACCCAGCTACAGGAGAAAGTGGACTCAGTAACAGCAGGTAGCAGCAAAGTCGCAAATATCTCACTAATATCCTGTGCCGCTTGAAGCTTGCGTTCCTAAATACCAAAACAGCAAAGCCAAAAGCGTATAAGGCTTTTATACCATTGTGAGTTTATGGAGTTAAAAATCTCTTAATATCTTTCAATTCAATTAGAAGTTTTATCATACTATTACCCATGTCTCTTTCTTCTGCTTTTTTTTTTTTTTTAAGTTTTTGTTATAGAGTATGTATGTTCCCCAGAGAGAGAGACAGGGTGCAGGGGAGGGAAAGTGAGAAACCATTCCCCAGGGTAATAGTCATGCCACAATCCTTTCTCCTCCATTTTCCCTCTCAGGATTTGGGGCACGCATACACACACACCTGGCGTGGTTTTCAAGGTCCCAGGGCCAGGACTCTAACTGTGCAGTTGACCATGTGAGATATGCCTCCATTACCTTTTTAAGGCAAAATTTTCTCTATTTTTACTACAAAGTAAGCTAATAATGCAAATTTCACTGCATATGTACACAACATCCTAATAGTAAACGAAAGTGTCAGAAAATGATAAAGAAATGTCCTATTGAAAGGACTTCTAAAAGACAATATACTCAACTAAGGGAGAATGATTTTTTAAAAAAAGATTTCAAGCTTTTCTTTCTAGTCATACTCTCTTCATTTCTTATTTGTAGTAACAAAAAGTGTTTTGTATCCCTTCAGGAGATTTTCACTAGATTTTTATTATCACAACTGCAATCACCCCTTTTACATCCCCCTATCTTTTCTTACAAATAGGAAATGCCAAAGGGTTTTACTCCTTGCCAACCTCTGAGCTATCGATAGATGCACTGGGCTGAAAGAGGCTGACCAGCTTCCCAAGGCTAACTTGGATATAAATCCAGATTTTCCTGACTTCAGAACCCGAACTCAGCAACTACACCATTCTGACTCCCTTCCACCCAAGGCAGCCACCCTCGTCCCCTCTTCTTCTGCAGCTTTCCAGAACCAGCACCCTTGGCTACTCTTCCCCATCACAAACCTGTCCTGTCTTCTGTCTCACAGATTCTAATTGTACTGGATTACAGAGAAAAGCTTTGTTTACATTCTTTACTGATTTCTTCCATGACAGATCCAGAGATAAGAGAGAGGCAGAAGGACAGCAGTCCCCAACAGGGTCTTCCTCTCACAATCCAACCCGTCTCTGCCAGCCGCGACTCGGCATGGCAAGTGTGTCTGCTGTGCTCAGGGAGGTCTTTGCACACTGACCCAGCATCCTTCCCATGGTCCAGCTGCGGTACCTCTGCGCCACAATTTGGTCCCTGGTTATTCAAGTTAAGCCTACGACAGCCTATGACCAGGTTATAGATACCTAGCACAGTGCCCTTCACACACTAGTTGAAAAATGTTTTGGGTGGTTGACAGTTAGGTATATCCCAAAGGTACATTTGCACTCCAATGTCTTCAAAATCTTCCCCTACTTAGCTTTTGATGGCCAGGATCTGCATTCTACATAGATTAGAGGGAGTGAGGTGTTTTCAATGCTACAGAACAGTGTCCGCTGTGGGTTTTCTTGTTGTTTTTTAGGTTAAATTCTATTTCCTAAAGACTTGCTATACAGGAGAGAAAATAGGAGAGAAAAAAAGGGCAAGAGGAAGACAAATTGCATATACT